ATGAGATAACATGTAAAGCACTACTGAGACAAAAGCCCAAGGTCAAGGGAAGAAGCAAGGTCTCTCGCTGTCATATTTCAGGCCCCCATTGCTTCTGGCCAAGACCACTGCAGTGGTTTCTTCGTCTCCAGTTTTACCCGGCTCCCCAATCCTTCATACTGCCTCCAGATTAAACATTTCCTAATGCAGATGTTATCAACACTTCCCGCAATTCCCACTCACCCGCGGCGTGAGGTCCAATGTCCTTGGCGTGCTGTGCAAGGTCCTCCATGACCTTGCCCCCACCCAAATCACCAAGCCCACCCCCCACCAATGCACGATGGTTATAATGAACCAAATGGGCTCCACGACTCCTATTTATACGTATCATTCCCTCCATTGGTGATGTACATGCCCTCAACTTGTCCACAAGACTCAGTTTCTTTGTCATCTCACTTGGGAAGCTCCCCCTGGCCCCTCCTGCACCTGTACCCATTCCAGGCTTGATTAGGAACCACTCCTCTGGGCTCCTCAACCACTTGAGGTTTGGCTCTGTTACCACACAGATCTCATTTGTTTGGTCAATTTGTCTGTCTTTCCTTCAAGACTGGAATCCAGCTGAGGTCTAGGACCGCTTCTCTGATCCACTCTGGCTCTCCATGTGGAGCACAATGCCTGGCACAAAGTGGAACCCAGTAGATGTCTGCTGAGTGAATACATAAAGCATAGGAGATGCTCCTGAGAGAGACAAGGAGAGTGAAAGCCCTGTGAGGTCAAGCAGCAGAAAATGTGGACCAGACCGAGGAGAAGTCACCACCGCTTGGCCATGCAGACAGAGTTGGGAGAGAAAAGAATCTGGACAAGGAGTCAGTAATGGAGGATTTGAAATGAAAGAGAATAAAAAAGAGGGGCGCCTGGGTGGCTCAGTCAGTTAAGGGTCTGCCTTCGGCTCAGGTCATGATCTTGGGGTCCTGGGATCGATCAGGTCATGATCTTGGGGTCCTGGGATCGATCAGGTCATGATCTCCCTGCTCAGTGGGGAGCCTGCTTCTCTTTCTCCCTCTCTCCCAGCTCGTGCTTGCTCGCTCTCTCAAATAAATAAATAAAATCTTTAAAAAAGGGGGGGGCGCCTGGGTGGCTCAGTCAGTGAAGGGTCTGCCTTTGGCTCGAGTCATGATCTCAGGGTCCTGGGATCAAGCCCTGCATCGGGCTCCCTGCTCAGTGGGGAACCTGCTTCTCCCTCTCTCTCTCTCTGTGCATGCTATCTCTCTCACAAATAAATAAATAAAATCTTAAAAAAAGAGAAGATCGTGAAGGGAAGAGAACCACATTAGGTACTATTGGGGTTTCAGTGGCTTCCTCTACAGTGGTTCCAGGAAGAGGGAAGTTTCTAGAAAAGCACAAATCATATTTAAAAATAAAAAAAAGATTAGGTATCAGCAACCGAATCAAGGATTATTTGTCATTGGGACTAGAGACACGGGTAATATAAGTAAACGTCAACCTGGTGACTATGTGATGGGACTACTAATAACTCACTGGGGCCGGTGCCCAGGAGTTGTGTTGGTTTTTTTTGTTTTGTTTTTTTTTTTGTTTTTTTACTCTGGTGCAAATGCCAAGCATGGAAAAATTTGACAAGTTATAGATATGCGAGTGCAGATAGTGAAGTTGAGAATAACGATGCGAAATGCCAGAATAATCACAAGAGAAGTGTCTGAATACGTAAGAAGGTTTAGAGGAATTCTGCTTTACTGCAAATACGGATTACAAGAAAATTCACTTACAGAAACAGAAATTCCAATCTATCAACCCCACTTATCAAAACCTGTAGTATGCCAGAATGCTTAACAGGAAAAGTGTGCCTTTTGGCCCACACCTCGTGGAAAGTAGCAAATAACACACGAAAGGCAGAGCAGGTGGGAAGTATGACGTTTTGTGGCTTCCAGCATATATGAATGAGAGAATATGCACTTCCACATGCAAACCATAACCTTCACGGGAACCCCTAAAGGCTTCATTCCAAGACCGCGAGTCTCCTGCCACAAGTTGGCCCACTCCCCAGTTTTTATGTCAGAGACCCTGTAGAGCAAGCATTGTGTGAGATGAAAAGCCGCGGGCAGAGCAGAGCGGACAGGGTGGAAAAGTCAAATGACTCCTTGCCATCATTCCTAACAATGCACCATCTATCCTTGTGAGATTTTTGTGGACAAGGTAAACATTTGGGATATACTTATGCTAGAAAACTTACGCTCAAAAACTTGTCTGAAATTCAAATTGAACTGGGCATTGTGTACTTTATCTAGCAACCCTACCTAGTGAGGGATACATTTTATCACTCATTCTTCCTGAGAGCCACAGCACGTCTCGGTCATTGGTAGTTATCATGGAATATGCACAAAGTCGCAGTAGTTAGCAAACATAAGAGTCCCTGCTATGTGCTAGGCATCACACTCAGTGTTTTAGATGGATATCTCAAATACTCAGGTATCTTCACAAGAACGCTAAGGCAGGTACTATTATTATTATTCCTGTTTTAAAGATGAGAAAAATGAGGCTCAGAGAGATGAAATGACTTGCTCAGGATCACCTGGATAGCTAGTGGTACAGCCAGGATTTGAACTCTGGTAGCTGGGCTCCAAAAGGCCACGTACTTGCCCACCTCACTGAACGTGGCAGCTACACCAAGCAAGGGGTAAATACATTGAGTCCCCCAGGAGAATAAGAGCATGAGAGCATAGGGTATATGACAAGGACAGACCCCGAGTAAGGCTTAGAAGGGGCAGTTGAAGTTAGAGCCGATGCCTTTGTTTACATTAGAGAAGTGTGCCCCTAACTTTAAGCAGATGCAGCCCCACATCAGACTCAAAACTTGATAGAAGAGCACTGGTTGGATTTTAGCCCCCACTGCAGCCTCTGCCATGTGCGCTTGTGCAGTAAACAACCTGCACAACTGTACACAGAAGCCTGAGTTAGGTAGCAGAAGGAGGACCAGTGCAGAGGTGAGGATGCGGCGGGAGTGCTTAGAGAATAATGAAAAGCCATCCTAAGGCATGTGTGCATGATATTCTGAAGTCTATTTAGAGAGATATGATGGGGAAGAGATTGCTAAGGCCTGAAATGGCAAGAGGAGAGTCTTGAGTGGATCTGGGGGGTAGCATGACAACATGGCATCGACAAATTCTAAATGGGAAGATGACTCTCAGAAAGTGTGTGCCAGAAAGCTTCAACACACAGGAGTCCTTTCTCCAACAAGCAAGTGGGATGGGGCGATGGAGAATGGGGGCACGGGAGAGAAGGTGACAGCAGCCTATTTAAAAGACATAAAAAGAAACTCAGCAGACTGGAAACGTGGACAAGGAGTGGGGAACAGAAGACACAAAAGAGGGCAAGTGAGTGAAAAGACGAATTTCTTCCACGTTGCATTTCCCCAAGCATGATCCTGAAAGAGCTGCTGGCACTGTTCTGGTTTATGTTATTTTCCTCTAAGGTTATTAGACTGCCATTTAGGAAAGGGCACAGGCACAGCCCAGTTTAATCTCAGCAAAGCATTTGGTTGCATCTTTCATGAGACCCAAGAGAAGAAAATGCAGAAAAACATGGCAGAATGATAACTGCTTCATCTGGTGGATTCGGAGCTAGTGCTCAGGGAGTGCTGATGAATAAGTTCATGGCAACCTGGAGGGAGTCATTAAGTAAGAAACTTGAGTTCAGAGATATAACCAGTTTGCTTAGGATCACACAGCTGGTGAATGAAGGAGCCAGGACTTGGGCCCAGCTCTGTCTGACTCCAACGCCCATGTCCCATTTATTATGAAATAAAGGCCAAAAAGGCATTAAGCTTGCTTGTGAGAAAAGAGTCAGGAGAGAAACCAGAGGGAAGGAATACAAATCCGTGCCCAGATGAATCGTGATCGACTGAAGAACTGAGGTGTGAGGTACGCGAAGACCAGAACAAGATCAAAATCAAAAAGATTAACTTTGAACCTCACATTTTGGCTCCCAAAAGCCTCTTGCAGAAGCAAAGTAGAGGGGCCTGGCGTGACCCCTCTTCGCGCTGGGGAGCATTTGTGCTTTCGTCCCAGTGCTTTGCTGTCGAACCCCGAATGGCCAATAGAGTAACATGTTATTAAAGCTCTGGTGTGCAGAGGAAGTGATTAAACAGTGCCCTTCCACTGAGCCCAGCTGAGACTGTTTCTTGAATAATGGGCTGACTTCTAGGTAACACATTTTAAGAAGGACATTGACAGACTGTGATGTCACCTGAAGGAAATGACCAGGAAAGCAAGGAGTCTGAGCCTGGTCACATGGAGGGTGGTGGAGGAGCCAGGGAGAGTCAGGCTTAGAAACAAGAATTTGGGACTTGGGAGTGTCATCTTCACACATTCAATTTTTTTTTCTCCTTAGGGCAGAATTCAAACTGAAAATAATAGTGAGACACTTTGGTTCGATAGAACCAACTCACCAAGCTGCTTAGTTGCTTCCAGTTCCATCTTCCCTAGGACCATTCTCCATCATCTCAATAAATTAGGGAAATACGGGGCCAACTTCCTGGGTCACCTCCAACTTGGAGAACCTAAGGTTTAGGGGATCAAGACTGGAAGTTAAAAAGGAAGAGACTACATTAAGCAAAGCAAATACAGATGTTCCTCAGTTCAAGTGAACTCAAATTATGACCTAAATTTCCAAACAAGATAAGAATATTATAACGTTTATCTGATGAAAGTAATGTGGAAGAGCATCCCTTCTATTGGCAGCTTTCTAGCACCTTTATGGGGTGACTTGATATATAAAAATGTAATTACCTCCAATGTTCAAGGGATAGACTTATTGAATGAAGCCAGGTAAACTGTTGTATGGGTTAACGTCCACTTTGGCAAGCTCTGAGCCCGGTGAACTAAAAAATGACCCGCGTTCCAATAATAAGTGCGGGCTTGGGAATATAAGTAGAAGTGACAAGAAGATTGAAGCAGTTGTGGTCACAGAGTCATCTAATCTCTGGTTTTGTGCTCTGCCCAAATAAGAATTAAGGTGGCACAGGGTGCAGACGTGAAGGAAGAGAGAGAGGGTGCTGAGCGGACTCGTTGCATTTGGGAGTGATACTACAGCCCTGGTGAGCACAAGAAAATGGCAAGTGATACCTCAGTCTGGCGGTAGTGGAGTGGGGCTGGGTGGGCTCTTCCTATTTCATTTCTGTCGCTGATGTTTTTGGATTGATGTTTTCATGGTGTCATTTCCGTAAGAAAAGTGTAGAAGATGTAAAAACAAAAAGATTTTTGAGGTACCCTTGTTCTAACTAGATTCGCAGTAAGTCACAGGCATTTAGAGGAGAAAGAAAAAGAGCTCCGAACAAAAGCAGATTGGATTGTGAGGAATGTTGATGCTGGGAGAGGTTAGAAACCTGTGACCTCGAAAGACAGAAAGAGAGAGAGAGAGAGAGAGAGAAAGGAACAGAAGGGAAAGGCAAGGAGAAGAACAGCCGCGTGTAGGTTTATTAACTGAGATTGTTTCCATTTCGGCAAATGGGCTTAAAGCACATGATTGCTTGGTCTGAGGTCAGCCAGGTTTATTGCAGACTTTGCCTTCTCAGACCAAGGAATAATTGGCTTGAATTTTGTGGGTATCTGAGAATCGTGCCCATCAATTTCTTGGCTGAAGGACAGCCACCCAGGGAGGTGCAGGGGGCCCTGAGCTCTTTAGTCATTGTCCTGAGCTAGTGCAGGACTTCCATTTTTGTTAGTGCCGGCGAAGGCAGTGTGGCGAAGGAAAGAGAGCACAACCTCAGGGGCGAGCAGACGCCTAGGGTAATGGCGCCCCTCCGCTTCCCAGGTATAAAATGGGTGTGGTGGTCGTGGTTGTACTAGTAATAATGATCATAATCATAATCATGCTGCAAAGTGCCTGTGAAGCCCTTGGTCCATGATAGACCATATCAATACATGGAACTTAGTCTCAGCTGATTCTCGTCTCTAGACTTGGGTGAGGCAGACAGACGGCAAAGCTTAGAAGCCAGATCAGTTTTCGGTTTCTCAGCCTTCCATCTCCCCGCTGCCCTTTGGTTCGTGCCGTCTTTTCTCTCTACTTACGGGATTGTCTTGATGACGATACACGGCGTCCTACCTTCTGAAATCACTGCAGCCAGGACTCCATAGGGAGTAGAGAGAAGCTAGCGTTCCCCCGGGAAGGGGTATGAGCTTGGTGGATTTTTGGAAAACGGTATTTTGAAACTGTTTTCTCTACGAGAAAGGAGAGTAGATAGAGGAGAGATGATTGGAGAGACACTGAACTTTCAAACGCCGAGGATGAGCAGGGCGTTCCACACCCTGTCCCCGGCCACACTGAGAATAAGCATTATTGTCTGAACTCTTGATGCAAAACCTAAGGCACAGGGGGGGTAGGGTTCCCAGCTAGCAAGGAAGCAGCAGAACTGAGATCTGAACCCAAGTCTCTGACAGCCATGTCCGTGCACCTCCCCTGTGCCTGGCAACCTCACTTTGCAAAGAACGGCAAGTTAGGGGAAAAAAAAGAATAGAAGGTGCTTGAGTTTGATAGAACACAGACATTACACTGAAAGAAAAGGATGTTCTTCTTAGAAAAAGTTTGAGGACAAGTGACATTTTTATGGGATGTGCTTTGAACTTGGAAAAAAAGAAAGAGGGGCGCCTGGCTGACTGGCTCAGTTGGTGGAGCATATGACTTGATCTCGGGGTTGTGAGTTTGAGCCTCACGCTGGGTGTAGAGATTGCATAAAAAAAAAAATTTTTTTTTTTTTTAAAGAAAGTTTCCTTTGATATACCTGACTGGTGTTGATTACAGAGGAGTAAGATGATAAGTAACAAGAAGAAGGAAGAGCAAATGACCCTCTGTCTTGGGCATCACTCAATTTAGAAGGCAGGGGAGGGGAAGGGACCTGAACAGGGACAGTCCCCTGACTTGTCTCCACCCTCTTGTACCCCCTTCTCCTTGACCTCCCTCCCCTCCCCAAAACAAAAAACCTTAAGCAGGAAAAGAGGAACTAATTAAAAAAGAGGAAAACATCCTTGAGACCAGTGAGATCCCCCTAATCCACAGTGACAGGCAGGGACCTAGAGAACAGCAATTTGATTAAATCAGGGTATAAGGGATTTAGAGGGACTCTCCAGTCGTGTCAAGTTTGTCTGTGCGTCTTTGAGATATATTTATTTGGCTTCCAAACCTAAAAACAAGTGCCTTCTAGCTGAAGAGATGATTCCCACTTAGAAAATAGGGAGCCATCTCAAAGGCAAGGCCAGAGGGTGGACCGAAACCCTAAGTGGTTGGCAGAGGGTCGGCAGGAGATGCACTGGGAGAGACAGCGTCCCAAGGTCAGGGTGCATAAAGGCAGCCTCAGCGAGGGGATTACAGGCGGAGCCTGAGACCCCTCCCAGCCTGGGAGGAGAGAGTAGTATGCCTCTCCTGCCCTGTGTCTCAATTCTTGCTCCGGGACCCACTGCCCATTCGTTACCTGTCATCAGAGACAGCTCTGTTGCTGGTTTCTGCAGAAGTGAAGCAGCCAGAGGATGACTGTGATGTGGGAAGGACACCTGCAGCGGAAACGGAGCACACCCTGAAGGCTTCTTCCCAAGCCATTTCCTTGTGTCCCCAAGACTGGCGTCAGCAGATCAGCCCCTAAGGAATTGCTGTTCTCGGACAGGCTGCGGAGGGCCCCTCGAGTTCCCCATGTTCACCCCTGCCGGTAGTGCCGGGGGAATTTATGCCTTCCTGGGGCTTTGGAGGGGGAAACAATGAGTCACTTAGGGACAAGAGGAAAATAAGAACGTCTCATGTGTGCAAAATCACTTAAAATGGACACTTTTAGAGGGTACTAAAATCTCAGCCAACTAGCCAGAAATGGTTTGGTGGAGTACATATATTCCATTTGTCTTTGCTTACTTTGGTTGCAATAAAGTCAGAAATGTTTATATTCCATGGAGAGAACACCTGTGGAAACAGGCCAGGTCCGTCTGAGAAGGCTGTTTATTCCCCTGAGATCCTGAACCTAAAAAGAAATGGTCCTCATCTCTGACTGGGGAGGTCTAGATAAGCATAGGAGCTGCTCGTTGTAAATCTTCGAAAGCAGAGGCCCCTGATGGCCATTCCCAAGTCCATGGCTATCTGCAAGCTTGGTGCCACCATGATTCAACCCCCACTTCACCCGCTACACGTGGCCACAGATCCGAGTCTCCAGAGAAACCAGAAGGAGGATCTTACTAGAATAGGATTTGAGGGTTTCTATTTTAAAGGCTCCAGGGATGAGTTAGAAGTAATTCAAGAGCAGGCACAGTAAAGAAACATGTACACCGTGTTAGACATTCAGCGAGCGAGAAGGTTAACATTAACAACATGGCCCGCTGATTAAGAGGTATTGTGTAAGCAGGGATTCTGCTGGTAGAACAGAGCAAAAATGTTGCCCTTTGAAAGCCCAAAATGAAGAAAGGCCAGCTCTTGATCTCTTTGGCCATGCTCAGCCTTTCTCTTCCCTTTTTTCCATTTTTCTTCCAGAATCGATTGATTTGGATCTCTGGAAGAATATTTAAGCAAGAGCCGACAGGTGAATTATAGGTAGTTGTCCATCCCAAACTTACAAATTTTCAAGGAGGGCCATCTATGACCTTTCTCGGTATCCTGTTCCTATGTCTAACGCCCAGGAAAAGGTGATAAACTAAGGCAAAAAGTCTCCAACCGCAGCTGTAGGGTTCGGATAAAAAGAAAAACACACAGTAGGGGTTTCAACATAAATCATTAACCTAGAATCAAAAGCAGGAGTGAGGGACTAATCACTTTGAGATGAACGGGACCATCTTTCCAGGATCCTCAGGGAATTCAAGCAGCAGAATATGAGTAGGAGCTGATGACTTCCAATTCTTTCCCAGCAAAGTCATTCTGTATTGTATGGGCTTCAGATTCCTTGAAATGTTAAAATATACATACCTTAAAACACACAAGAGACAAGAAGGACAATGGGCCAAACCTGTACTCAAGATGCAAAAAAAAAAAAAAGTTTCAGGATGGAACCAACGGTTCGGGGTGCACCATTGCCCTCTGTTGGATTAAATAAATCAGCTTTCGTGTGGGTGTGTGTTATATTATCTCCGGCTGAGTTAGCTGAGAAGTCAGGGCACCTTTGAGTGGGAAATTAATTCATCCTTGTAAATGGGTCCTCCGCCTTCCCTGAGGAAATAAATTACAGCTGTAACTGATGGCAGGTCGCTTATCACGTTTTCATTCACTCAGCATTTACTAAGTGCCTACTAAGCACTGGTTCGATATTGGAGGGAATCTAAGAAGAAATAACACCAAGCCCTGCTACCGTTTATGGAGTGCCTACCGTGTGCCGCCGCATCTCCACACACACGAACACGTAGCACCCCCGTGAAGTAGATGTGGTCACTCCCGTCTAATGCATAGAGAAACAGGACACTTGGAAAGGGAACGGCACATCTTGGATTTAAATCCAGGGCGCCTGGGTGGCTCAGTTGGTTAAGCGACTGCCTTCGGCTCAGGTCATGATCCTGGAGTCCCGGGATCGAGTCCCACATCGGGCTCCCTGCTCGGCAGGGAGTCTGCTTCTCCCTCTGACCCTCTTCCCTCTCGTGCTCTCTATCTCTCATTCTCTCTCTCAAATAAATGAATAAAATCTTTAAAATATATATATATAAATCCAGGCCCATCTACTCCTAAGCCCACACTCAGTCCACTAAGCTGCAGCTCTTCCCCCTCAGGAAGTTTACAAACGACTAGGGGAAGTAAGATATAGACAGAAGCATCTATACCAGGGGTTCACAAACTACGGCCACAAACTATGGCCAAATTCCAGCCATCATGTATTTTTGCCCATGTGAGCTAAGACGGTTTTTATATTCTTAACTGGGGTTGGGGAAGAAAAATCAGAAGAACAGGAATACTTTGTGGCATGTAAAAATTATGTGAAATTCACATTTCAGTGTCCATAAATAAAATTTTATTGGAAGCCGGCTACACCCATTCAATACTATTTTCTCAGGCTGCCTTCCTGGCTACAACAGCCCAGTTGAGTGGCTGTGGCAGAGAGATACAGCCCGCAAAGCCCAGAATATTTACTCTCTGCTCCTTACAGAAAAGATTTGACGACTCCTATACTCCAAGGTAGACTGTTATCTATCAATAGGAGAGGTGTTTAAAAAGTGTTCTGGGAACCGTGCTGTCCCGCGACTGATCCAGAGTGCCCCTCCAGCCCCCAGCCATGAGGCTCTTCCTGTCGCTCCCAGTTTTGGTGGTGGTTCTGGCGATGGTTTTGGAAGGCCCAGCCCCCGCCCAGGCGGCCCCAGAAATCTCCAGCACTTTGGAGCGCATCCCGGATAAACTGAAGGAGTTTGGTAACACCCTGGAGAACAAGGCCCGGGCAGCCATTGAGAGCATCAGGCAGAGTGACCTTCCTGCGAAGACCCGGAACTGGTTTTCTGAGACTTTCAACAAAGTGAAGGAGCAGCTAAAAACTACCTTCTCCTGAACACCAGGAGAGCCGTCCCACTCCTCTGGGCTGTGCGCCACGGAAGGAGCTCTGAAGTTTCCCATGCCCTGGCTCCTGTACCGAGGACTTCATGATGCCCATATCCACCCCCACCCTCCAATAAAAATCCTGTAGAGAAAAAAAAAAAAAGTGTTCTGGGAGTTAAGAAGAGAGGAAACTAACATTTATTTAACCCACAGTGGGAGGTGCTAGAAGGATATACAGGTGTGCTCTGTTTTAAGACTCATAGATGCATGAAAACCCAGATTTTAAAACAGATAAATTAAAAGGTAGTTATCTGCATAACAAATTTTCCTTTTCATTTTGTCAAGGGATTCACCATGGGGTTCCTTTGTAGAATGAGCCTCTATAATGCATGCTAATATGATGCCACTTACAAATACACTATTCCTAATAACTTTTCTTTTTTTTTAAGATTTTATTTATTTATTCATGAGAGACAGAGAGAGAGAGAGAGAGAGAGAGGCAGAGGGAGAAGCAGGCTCCCAAGGAGCAGGGAGCCCGATGCGGGACTCGATCCCAGGACCCTGGGATCATGACCTGAGCCGAAGGCAGACGCTTAACCATCTGAGCCACCCAGGCGCCCTCCTAATAACTTTTCAAGAACATCTCCATTGTGTACAGTGGTATAGTACAGATTACCTATAATCTTTTTTTTTTTTTTCCTGGTAAGGTTTCCTACTTCTGAAAAGTAATGGAACTGACCTTGTTAATTCAGAGCGGGGAGTAAGCACTCTGCCTTCTCATTGACTCCGGAGGGGCTTTGCCTGACAAATAGAAAGGCTGTGGGTTCCAAATCTCCACATTATGTGAGGTTGAACTGCCTGGAGAATTTTGCATTTTTAGCCAAGCTTCTCTTGATAGCTGCAGTCAAAGTCCTTTCATGTAAACTCCTCAGTGTTCTATCACTGCATTTCATAACAAAATAAATTAATAAAAATTACGTTTGTCATTACCGTCCTGATAAATATGCTAAAGCAATATTTATAAAGAGCAATGTTTCTCTCTTTTTAAAAAAATAACTTAACTGAATTACAGCATAAACTGGTGCAAAAGGTCACAAAATATTTAAATTAACGTTCTCTCCCGCAAAATAGGAAGTGGTGTTGCCGATTCGATTTAGGACCCAGCTCCTTCTTTCTTTGGGTCCTGAGCCTGAATCTTCCAACAGCTTTGTGGTGTTATGCAATTGCTCTTTTTAAGAGATGCATAAAACGGAAACCTTGGCTATTCATAGCCAACTTAGGAGGAGCTGAAATCTTTCAAGAAGTTTCTCGCCTGGTACGATTTTTGAGGGTAACTACGTGTTTCTGAACACATCCAATTAATCTGGATTTCACATGGCGGCTCTTTTAAAGAGCCGTCTTGTGGCTTTTGTTTTTGTCCTCAGTGGTGACTGTATTTTAGAAGTAGACAAACATTCCTGGTATATAAGCCTGAATATTTTTCAGGGTTTTCTTTTCTTTTCTTTTTTTTTTTTTTGGCGGTAAAAGAAGCTTAAATGGAAATGCAGGGGCAGAGAAATCGTGCCTGGGGAAGTCCTGTGTGGTCCTTCCAAGTGGCGCAGCAGATCTGTGTCACAGGGCTGCTAATGGATATTGCACGCAATTCATAAAGGGGCAAAGGGAGAGAGACACAGAGGGATGGTGAGAAGCAGAGCCAGCATTAAGGGCAGGAGCCCGGCATGGTTCCGAGGTAGGATTCTTGGACAAATGGCATCCTCAGCGGGGTCAGGGTGGGTGGGGGAGGCTGCAGGAGGCGGCTTGACTGCCCCTGGACAGTCACTTGTCATTCACGTTCTGTAGCAGGCAGCATTTCAGCCATTTCTGAAGCTGATCACTGGACGGAAACGCACACTGAATCCATCCGTGAGGTTCTTTAAAGAGATGTCTCTCTCTTCATTTCCCCCCGAGGTCAGGAGCACTGTAACTGCACACAGCAGCTGGAAGGTTCCATTGCGTTCTTGAACTCTTGAGCTGGCTGCACTTCCCCCCCCCCGCCCCTCCCCTTTTCTCTTTTGTCTTGTAATTGTTGCTACCATGTTTTCAAGATAATATATATATATATAGTAGAAGTTACAGACTATAACAAATGAATAAATACTGAACAAAATACGTTAGTTCAGTTTTCTTTTTCCCTGGTGGTGGTTTAAAAGTTTTCAAAATTAAGACTAATAATCGGATATAGAAAAATGGGATAAAAATTTCCATGCATTTTTATGATCAAACAGAAGATGGACCCCTGGGGGTTGGCACGGCTATTAGGGAAGCAGGGAATGGTAACTTCAAGGGGAGAAATTGCAAAGCCCTGGGTTTGGAACGAAAATAGAACATACCCCACTCCCCCCCGAACATCTCCCTCCTACCAAACAGCATCTGAGCAGATTTCATTTCACAAATGGAAATGGGAAATGGGACGCACACACATTTTTTTTTTCAAAGTGATTTCATGAAGAGTGGGCCTATTTAATTGGGTTTTTGGAGCCAGGATTAATATTATAAGCTAGGGAGTTCGGTGATGTACCCGTGAAGTTGGCTTTGCCATACCACCTGCCTCGTGGGGGAAGGCAGAGAAGAGAGCCGCTTCTCAGAAGCAATGCTGTTCTGCCTCGGCCTTCTCAACGAAGTCATGCACGACCAGCCTGGACCAAGCACCCAGGCTGCATCCGAGTTACACGTAATGTAGGAAAGATCCTCCCAAGCTCAAGGTCATATCTAGAGCATGCTTTAGATATATTTTCATCCCTAATTTATGTGATTTTCTAATATGTTTAGCATTTGCCCTCCCCTTGTCTCCATCCTGCTTATTAAGGTAAATTTGCATAGAAATGGGATCTTGGTTTTCAGGACCATTCACCTGACACTTGCTCTCCTGAGGTGACCAGTATCTGCTGTGGATACCATGACGGTGACCCGCAGACACCACATCTTCCCGCAAGCTCAAGGCAAGGCCTTAATTAGGGGAGGCTTTTCATGTTAAAGCCACAGGGTGAAGCAAATCAGCAAAAGCATTTAGCACTCACCAAGGAGGGCAGAATACTCCTTCCTGTCGAGTGGGCCATCCTAGGTCACAATTTTAATTTGCCTTAGATGGACAGATCCTGAAGAAAGGGTACAAAAAGTATATCTATATTTTTGTTTGGAAATAAATTTTGGCTGGTGATAAAGCTCAGACAATTCACTATGACATTTTACTCTGGCTCCTGAAATATTTTTTGCTTAATATCTACCTTCGGGATGGGTAATCGTCATCTCTACAAATTGCCTTTGGAAGACTAAGCAAAAGTGTAAAATCAGAGAACCGAGCCCCTTGCTGTTACCACTGTGGCAGTTGGCTTTAATCCCCTGATCTCTGCGTGCTGCACCCTCGCACCGGCAGCCACCTTCCTCATTTACCCAAATCTTGTCACTTGGGTGGAAATTCCCACTGAGAGTATGATTGTGGTCCTGGTTTGCTGGTTACTGAAAGCCATTAGGTGTGAGGTTACTAACCTAAAGGGTTTCAGAGTTAGCCAAATTCTGATAAACGTAAATGCCAAACAACAGCTTCCAAGACTGTCCTAACAGCAAACTGTCTTAGCAGAAAACCAAAGGATTTGCGGGTCATGGAGAATAAGCATCAAATTTCAGAGAGGAAAGTTCATAAAAGATGGGAGAAATCAGAAGAAAACCCAGGCTGCTTTTGGCCAGGCTACCTTTGCTGAGGATAAATTCATTCCATACAATTATTTTTTTTAAGGATTATTTGTTTGTTTGTTTGTTTGTTTAGAGAGAGCACACGTGTGCACAGGGGGAGGGGCAGAGGGAGAGGGAGGGAGAGAATCTTAAGCCAACTCCATGCCCAGTGCGAAGCCTGACTCGGGGCTTGATCTCACAACCCTGAGATTCTGATCTGAGCCAAAATCAGGAGTCGGAGGCTCAACTGACTGAGCCACCCAGGCGCCTCTATTATTAGTTGAATATATGATCCCCACTTTACAGATGAGAAAACCGAGACGCCGAGGTTTAGTTATTGCACAAAATCATACAGCTTGTCACCGACAAAACCAGGACTCTGCTCTTGCTTACAGACATGCTTCAGTGTCTCCTAAAAAAAACAAAACAAAACCAAAAAACAAAAAAACAAACCAACTATCTTTCATTTGTAGGCTAACTTTTTTATTTTATATAGGTCTTGTGTATTATTGGGGGGGAATAAGATTTTAACTTGATGCCGAAGTATTAGAATGAAATTTTTTTTTAAAAAGGTACTTGACTTACACTCTAATAATGAAATAAGGAATCTGACTAATCTAGTCCCCTGCCTCTAGAACCAGAACGCTTTCCACTCTCAAACCATGTGGAAGGGCGCTGAGTTCCCCACGGGCCGATGCTGCCTAATTCTCTTAAATGATTTAGACGTAAAAGGGAAAATGGCATCTGTCTAATTAACACTGCCTGGTTAAATACAGCTGCCAAGGGACAGCCTCAGGACGATGTTTACAGAACAGTCTTCCAGCCCCTCGGGCCTCAAGTTAGAGATGATAGCGAGTCTTCCATCCTTATCAACCAGAAACAGGGATGCCCCCAGAAAGGGTGACAGGCCAGACAGGCAGAGGGAGATGAAAGGAATGGGAAAGGCGTTGCTGGCCTCCGTTCCCTGCTCCTGGCATGCGGGGATTCAGGGAAGAAAGGGAGGCACATCCTACAGGCTCCCTCCCGCAACAATTCCCCGGGATTCGAAAAATCTCCCTGTGTGCCTGGGCCTCCCCCTCAGGCCTGGAGGCCTTGGACCAGGCGCCTACCACCTGCTCAGACTGCTATGCAGCCCGCTGCTCTCCTCTGGACAGAAGGGCATAATGAGCACATTACTTCTCTTCCAGCTTCACGTCGCGACATGGAAGCCATCGCCAAGTTTGACTTCACCGCCTCAGGCGAGGATGAACTGAGCTTTCACACTGGAGACGTTCTGAAGGTAGGTGACGTGGGGCCCTCTGGGGGGCCCTGGGGAGTTTGGGTTACTCTGGTCAGGTCCCCAAGTTCACCTAACAACCCACACCTTTTTCTTAAGAACTACACACAGCTCCTTTCAAAAAGAGAAGTTCACCTCAATCAAAAAGGTTCCTTCTGAGCCCTCCCGGGCACCAGTTTCCAGAATGGGTGATGGAAAGAAGCCACCACCCTTGTCCTGAGATGCTCGTGGTCTGGTGGGGGGAAGAAAGCCATCCAAAGGGCTCTTACAGATATTCTTGTCTAAATGCTCAGGGAGCACAGGTGAGGGAACCTTGAGAGATGGGGTCGCAGGAATAAGCGGCAACTTCTGTTGTCAGGGAATGCAGTGCCAGTGAGTTGGACTTTGACCTCAAGCTCGGGGGTGAGCTAGCCTGGGGGGCATTCAGTGAGCATTGTGAGGAACTTAACAGGAGGGTGGGGGTGGAGACAGCCTGGGAACGACAGCTGGAGGGGACATGGGCCAACGGAGGCCTGCACACTCGGCCCCTCAAGGACACCTTAGAACTTGCCTAACACCCACACTTGAGTTGTAGTGGCTGCTTGCAGGGCTGAAGAGGCCTCGGACTTCCACATTCCACGCACCGCACTTACAGGCTTAAGTCCTGCATCTTCGCCCCTGTTTTGAGCAAAAGCACAAGCCCTTACACAGGCCCTTTGGCGAGTCTGTGATGCTAATGCCCCCCCCCCCCCCCCCGGCCTGGCCTCAGAGGACCCTCAGAAATCCCCATCCCTGCTCCTCAGAAGCCCACGTGGGCCTTCTCAGACTGCACTGTAGCACTGAGGCCGGCCTCACCACGAAGTAGGCTTGCTGTAGAGAGAACCTTGTCAGTACGTGACAGGGTGACTCAGAAAGTGTCCACGGAGCACAGACCAGGTAGGATGACTTGGTTTGGAACTTGAACACCCCCGGGATTCATCCTTCTAACTGTTGTCACCTTGCAAAGATCTAGTAATATAGTTGCGAAGAGGGTGCCTTCGATCCTGGAGCTTCTCAAGATCAAAGTGTCCCCTGGGCTGCTGACCCAAGAAAAGGTGACCTTCACTTCTGTGGGATCTTACCAAGGTCACAGAGGGATCTGCCACATGGTGAGCAGTCCCTCCCTTCTCTATGGGATATTGTGACCATGTGATTATCAACCGCTATAGAGCGTCCTCACTCGAGAGAGACCAGGGGGCCAACTCCACCCCTCATCTCCCATTGCAAACAGAACCTAACATCCGCCTCGTGGGTTTCCTATTCCTCAGAAAAGGAAAAGGGAAAAAAAACCCTTTCCTCAACTCAGCTTCTCAGTCTACCTCCTGATTTCTTTCCTCTCCTTCGCTACCAACACTGGGAGGGCTTCTCTATGCCAGTGTCTCCACTTCCTCACTTCCCATTTATTCCACTGGAACCTTCTGGAATCTGCCTTTTACCCCCAACACTCCCTGTATGCCCACGAGGGATCTCTTTACTGTGGAATATAATGACCCTACTAACGCGTCTGTGGAGTTTAACACTGTTAACTGTCCCTTTTCTGGATCTGAATGGAGTTCGGCCTCACTCCTAAACATGTACTCTGTCCCATTTTTCTTTCTTGAGATCTCTTAAGCAATCCCCTTCTTCATGAGAGAGGAGTCTGATACACTAAAAAGGAGCAGGAGTTTAGAGCCAGATAAACTGAGTTTGAATCCCAGCTTACTAGCTGTGTGTCCTTGGGTCAGTCACTTGCCCCTCTGAGCTTCCGTCTTTATCTGTAAGTAGAACCCATATCTATTTTGCAGGGTTCTGGAAAGGATTAGAGGTAATGGTCCCAGCTCAAAGTGGATGCTTCATAAATGGTTGCCACATTTCAGTATTACCCATTCCTGCTGCCAGTCAGACCATTGCCACAGCCTCTTGACTGACTTCATCACCTCCTCTCCCTTACTCCTTTAATCATTTCACATACTAGTCTCAGGAGGATCTTTCTGGAAGACAAGTCGGGTCAGATCACTTCCTTACTCAAAAGAATTCAGTGGTTCCCTATTACCAATTGATTGAAATTTAAGCCACCTGATCCCAACACACTACCTAAGCTCATCAAGCTCTCGTCCATGAACATGCACACATACATACACCATACACACACACACACACACACACATGCACACACCTCTGTGTGTGCAATGCCCAGGTCATACTGCAGTATACACACTGTGCTGTGTCAGGTTCTCCCCATACTCCCAATGCCTTTCTCCTGCACACACATATTTGACCACCTCTGCCTGGGAACCTTCACTCCCTCTACACTCCCATTGGCCCCAGCAAGATTAATCACTCCCTCTTCAGCTCTTCCACAGCATTGCACACACACACTTCTTTCAAGGCACCAATGATCTCACCTCCCATGACAGTTAGTTATTGGTGAGCAGCCAAGCCTCCGTGTTCTTGCGCACCCCATGCACCCATCTCTCATCACTGCCCTTACCCTGTGGAATCCTGATTGCCGGGCCCGCCTGTGTCCAAACCAGCAGAGAGTTGACTGTCCCTAATATCTGATGAACGAATGAGTGGTTGATTACTCCAGTGGTCTGTGAGCTCCCTGAGAGCAGAGCCATGCCTGGTTCATCTTTGTGCCTTCCCAGCAGCGCCCCACACAAGTCCTGGTCCCAAATAAGTACCAGTGGCTTGAATTGTTAAATTGCGTTTCTACAGGGTCATGTAGAATTCCACCAGAAGGGCAAACCTCTCCTTCTTTTCAAATTCTGTCCCTTGCAGCCTAACGGTGGAACGGAAAGTAGAGAGGGGCCTGTTAGCTGAGCCCCACAGCAGGTCTACATCATGGTAGTTAATGCCCCGCCTGTGCATCTCTACGTACAACTGCAACCCTACTCTGCCACTCCAGAGATGGGTCATGAGCCCCAAGATCTTGCAAGTGCTTTCAAAGGCGGCTCTTGACTGCCGCAGTAATCTACTCCTGGGATGTTCTTTCATCCTAGGCTTTTCGTGCTAAAAGACTAAACAGACTTTCTCACTAGAAGGCACAAACAATGTCTGACTAGTTCACCGCCAACCCACCCACTCCAGACTGTGACTTCCCCAGGATCAAGACCTCAGCTTATTCATGTCTATATTCCCAGCACCTAAGTGCAAACAGCAGGTGCTCACTAGATGCTGATGACAGGACGATGAACAAGATGGTGGACGGGGAACTCCGGCCAAATGACTTGATCCCGCTTCTTCCGTGAAAGAAGTATTTGACGTCAGGAGCCGGATGTTTCATGTTCGTGCCTCAACCACCGCGCCCCACCACCACCACCAGACCTGCAGCTACACACAGCACCGGACTTAGATTTCCCTCTGAAATTTGCCAGTCATTTTTTCTCTTGACCCAGTCCATTTCTACCTACTTCTGTAATGTGTCCAACTCAACCCCATTTCTTCCTACTAAAACAGTGACCTGAAAGCACTAACAGTTAGTCCTATGTCAATTAACTTCTCCAATACTTCAGATTTCTGCTCTGCCTCTAAGAGCTATAATTCCACCCAATTTTAAAATTCTCCCAACTGTACATTTTGTCCTCTTGCCACGTCTAACTTATTCTCAGGCCACGTAACCCAGAAAATTATTCTCGTAGGCAACATGATAAGAATTAAGACACAGTAAAGTGAAGTCTGAAACCTCATGTGCTCAGGCTGAACCCCTTGCTTGGGTTTTCATGATGGGGCCAAGAGATAGGGGGAACCGAACAGGCAGAGAGATGAGAAGAACAGGAAGTATGGGGCCCTGGGCCAACAACGGCAGGAGGAAACCACCTCCCCCCAAACACTCTTCTTTGCAGAAAATGAGATTCTTTTAAAACCTCGCCTTCCTATACACCATAAAAAGCCTGTAAATTCACCTCCCTGGGAACATGATCTCAGGCAGACGGAGCACCAGGTGGTGGGGAGAAATGGCCGGCATTGAGGGATAATCTTTCAGTTTCTACAGGAGGTAGATGGGTGGGAGCCACAATTACTAAAATTACAGCTGGTTTCAGGTCAGAGAACTAAGTACAAAGTTGGTTCTTACCGTGATGAGCCGATTTCCAATTGGCCTCTTTTACCTTATCCCTGCTCACCTTGTACTTGACATTTGCTACCCAGCCCAAACATCACACTCCCATGTGACGGGAGAAAGGAATTCCAAAGCCATAAATTGGGGGAGGGGGCCGCGAAGGCGTGGAGTGAAATGTCCTTGTGTTCTTTGTGTGCTGAGTTTCCTAGTTCTTTTTCTGACCTAGATTTTCTGCTCCCCCCGCCCTACCGCACCCCCATCGGCATAAACATACCCACGCGTCCTTAGTGATACCGGCAGTCACATTTGATGTTAGAAACTATAAAGTTTTCTGTCCTCAGCAATTCTAGAACTCAAATATGGGACACACTTTTATTTCTTCAGAACAAGTGATTAAATTCAAAACATACACATATAATACTTTAAAGAACTTATAAACCCTACCATGTCCTTCAGAGCTGGAGTCCTCCCTCCTAAGTATACCACATTTTGCAGAATTGGATTTTTAAAAACAGCATACACTTTCTGAAGGCCTTCGAGGTACCAGGGCTCATCTGATCCTCACATCAGCTCTGTAAGGGGCTAGCTGGTTGTTACTGTCCCCATTTTTCAGGTGGCTAATTGACTTGCCGAAGGTCATACAGATGGTGACGGGGCCAAGCTAGAAACCAGGTCTTCTCATTCCAAACTCAGAGGGCTGGCCCCTTTCTTCCACCTCGGGGGTGATTTTAGAAATATCAGTTATTCAGCTCTCTTCATCTCTTCCCGTCTCTGGAAGAGAGAAACCCGTGGCACCCGGACTTCAACTCCACCTGCTTTAGGATGACTCTCAAATCCCGAATGCCAGTCCCCACCTCCCTGCTGAGTCCAGACACACACCTCCAGCTGCTCACTGAGCTTTTCTTCTCAGACGGTCCCGGGGCAACTTGGATTCACCCACATGCAATCTGAAGCTCATGAGCTCTTCCTCAGACCTGCTCTTCCTCCTGTACTTTCTGTTTTAGCCAAGACATCACCACCCACTCAGTCTCCCAAGTCCGAGATCCAGAGCCCTCCCAGAATTCCCTTCTCCCTTGGTTCGGAGAACAGTCACACAATCCTGCACACTTTGCTTCCAGGTTCCTCTAAAATAGCCCTTCGCCTCTCGCAAGCATGGCTACACTGTCTTCCTAGACTTTTCGCCTCCAATCTGTCTTCACGCTCTGATACGGGACTCTCTCTTGGCTCTAATTCTTACTGTGTTACTTCCCTGCTCAGAAGCCTTTAGTGGCTCCCCATACATTTCAAGATAAAAGTCCAGACTTTTCAACATGGGCCTTGTGCCTCTGGTTTCCCCTCGCTCTGCCCCTGGGGCCACAATCTAAACTCCCGCTGGACCAAGGCCCTCCGTTCCCAGAATGCATCCCACTTCCTCCCATCCCAGAAGTTCCTGTGCCATCAGACTTTGCCTGGGTAACTTCTTTCGTTGCCAGGGCAACTCCAGGGTCTCTCCTCCAGGCAGTCTTTCCTACTCATCTTCTGCTTTGCCCTTCAGCATAGCACTTCCATCCGTTAAGGCATTGTCAGTTGCAAGAGGCAGAAACTTGAATACAGCTGAAATAATCATGCAGATTGATAACTTCTCACACAAAGTCCAGAAGTGGGAGGCTCCTATGTGGCTCACTCAGGGGCTCAATGACATCGTCAAGCTTCTGTTCATCGTTTGTCTCTGCCATCTCCATTATTTTTCAAGTCCATGCCACATACTTTAGAGATATTCCCAGTGGGGGATGGGGGCAAACATTTGTCTTTTGATAGTGAAACATTTTCTGAAATAACCAGAAGCCACATAGAGCCAAGTCTGGTGAATCATATGAGTAATCAAGGGAAGCGATAACATTTGGGGTCACGGTCAACTAAAGACCATATAGTCATGAGACAGAACTTCTGGCTTTGCTTGGGATCTGGCACTAAAAGCAAGTTTAGAAAAGGCATTCCAAATATCTTGAGTTACGTCCAAATTGTTTGTGAAACACATGGAGTGTGAACACAAAAAGTTACTGTTTTCACAAAGCTGGTCCCACTGGATGTTTTAAGTTTTAATTTGCTTGTTTAAAGAAATAGGAACAAATTAAAATTTGAAAAGGTCCCTGGTTACCTGGCAGAGAAGGAGAAATCATGGGTTGGCCACTCTTGCCTTCCCAGCATCTGCTCAAATGTGGAGCTTCAGGAGCTGAGATCTGGGACATATGAATTTCCAAAATATACAGAGAATCCCCCGAGTGCTGAGTCTGGGAGGCCCCGCCATGATGGGGTCCCATGTGTGGCACCAGTGGACAGAAATAGCTTGGAGTCAAAGAAACCAAACACCAGAGAGAAACCTGTTCCCCCCCCCCCCCCACTGGAGCACCTGTGTGGTGCCCTTGGCGGTTTTTCGCTCTGAATCCGAAAGGGTGTTCTTTGCCCTGAGGTGACTGTCTTTTGTTTCTTGATGTCCTCCCTACAGTCTCTGTCCTTCCTTCTCTTCCATGTAGATCTTAAGTAACCAAGAGGAGTGGTTCAAGGCGGAGCTTGGGAGCCAAGAAGGATATGTGCCCAAGAATTTTATAGAAATCCAGTTTCCTGAGTAAGTATTTCCAGCCTGCTGACACGGGCCTACCCACACACACTCCCCTTACTTTTTCAGCAGTCACTAAAATTATCTATGCAGACCCAAGATACTGTCAAAATTGGTTGCCTCTGGAGAGGGAACCACTCAGCTGAAGGCCAGGGTGGGAGGGAGATTTGCATTTCACTGCATTCCCTTTTGAATTTTATACCATGCACATGGATCGCCAATTTTAGGTTTTATAAGCTAAACTCATCTATAATTGCAATCGCAGGGTTTCCATGAATCCTATCAGGGGCGCTGTTGGCCACCCCATGTCAAGAACTGCTCCTTGAGGGCACTTCTCCATTACCTCCCAATGTCTTCCATCCTCACCAGGGATCCCAAACAGCTCCCTGCCTTCCCTAAACCATGCTCATACCCCTGAGAACAGTCAGTGGGGGGAAAAGAGGAAATTCCCTTCATCAAGAGGAAAAAGAAAAATAGAGATTGGGTCTCGTTTGTCTCCAGAATTGACCACAAAGGTTAGATAGAAATCTAATCTCCGAGAGCCACGGTCTAGCTCAAAAGGGTACAGGTCTGTTAGCGGTCTTGGTGACTCTGGTGAGGTGCAGGAGCACCACTCACTGTGAACCAGGACTGGCCACTGAACCAACAGAATGACCACCAACCTCAAACCTTGATGCTGCCCTGTGATCGTCTATTTTTTTTTAAAGATGTTATTTATTTGAGAGAGAGCATGAGCGGGGGTGGGGGGAGGGGGGAGAAGCAAACTCCCTGCTGAGCAGGGAGCCTGATCTGGGGCTCCATCCCAGGACTCCGGGATCAGCCGAAGACAGATGCTTAACTGGCTGAGCCACCCAGGCGCCCTGCCCTGTAATCTTCTAGATAACCACCCGACACCTTGCTCCTCCGACCTCCAGCCCCTCCCCCACAGCGCTTGTGGCTCAGGGCCTTGCTTTCAGTGTCACTGGGAGGATGGAAGCCACCAGAAAAGCCCCTCTACCCCGCCCCCCAGCTGACTCACTGCATCCACCCACCTCCTGCAACCGTTCTCAGACAAGGATGCCTTTTCTGCAGCTGGTTTGGAAAGAATTGTCTGTGCTTCTAGCAGAAACTACTCCTCCCTCTCTCACACATCAATTCTCTCTCTCTCCTGGGTCATTCCCATCAGCAAAGATGCTGCAATTTCTCCCATCTTACCAAAAAAACAAAACAAAAATTCTTGATCCCAAGTCCCCTTCCAGCTACCACTGCACTTCTTAAAGAGACTTGTCTGTTTTCTCATCTCTAACTCCTCCCCGCCCTTTGAAACCTTTGAATCGCGGTCGCGGTGGACTGCGCGGCCGGCTGGTGGGTTCTAGCGTCTCTGCGTGATAGAATGTAAGCTCCACGAGGGCAGGCCTTCTTGTCTGCTCTGCTCACCACCGCATCCCCGGTGCCCAGCCGAAGGCCAGCACATAGTAGCTATTTGATAAAAACGGTTGAATGAACGAATGAGTAGCTTTGGAATGAGGCAAAAACATACCCCTGCCCGTGTGTTTAATGTGTAGTGTGTGGACAGTTTTGCCAGTCGTGAAGTCACGTATCAAACTCCAATTTGAGGATGAATGTGTATTTTTCAAACAAGCCCCTAAGCATTCGCTGCCTCGTCCAAAATATTTCCTGCGAGGTATGGCTGCCATGGAGCATGCCCCGTTCCCTTACCCAGCCCCATTACATTCCCTACACAAGGCAAGCTGTGGTGGTTGCTTGTTCAGCCCTGGGCCCAAGTACAGCAGATGCTCTGGAATGATCTCCAGGGAGTTGGTGGCCGGAAACCCTCTGCTTCGAGCCCCTCACCGCCCAACCACGCTTCCCCTGCAGTGTCAGGTCTGGAATAAGGACATCCCTCCTGCCACTCCTGTCTGGACGTCAGGTTCCTAAATTCTAGAGAGCACAGGGGATTGCTCACAAAGGAATCCCAAGTGTGTCGGGACTTCCCCCTAAAGGGACGCCCGCACTAGCCTTCCAGGGGTGGTGCTTAAGCAGCCGCCTTGGAGGAATGGGACCCGTCCCAGTCGGGGCTGCTGAGTGATTGCAAACACTCATTTGTGCTCTTCTGTGGTTGAGAGGTTTCTGGTCTCCTGCCCTGAGGCCGTAGCCTCTGTTTGGCAGCGCTTGGCGGTTTGCACGTATGCCAGGCCACCTGCCGCAACACTGCCACCCTGACTGTCCCCAGAAAGAGGAGTTTCTCCTCCATTCCTTCTTTTCCACGGTAAAAATGATTCTCCTGGATTTGGGGGATGGCCAGGGAGCTGGCCGTGTAGACGCCGCTCTCTGGCAGCTGCTAGTCTGGCTCCACACCACCCAGATCACCAGGGCCCCTGGGCTCTGAGGGGGCCCACTGAGCTCTCAGCCTGGCTTCCCAGCTTCGGTCCCCCAGCGCCTGAAGGGGTTCCTGTCCTCCTGGTGCATCATCTGTCCCCTGCAGTTCTTTCCTAGTGACATCCCTCACAGAGCTGCCAGCAGGCGGCTGCTTCCCGCAGTGAGTCACTCCCACACTGTCCCATTTTGGTGCAGTGGCACATTTCCATGATTCAGGTTTTCCGAGCGCGAGAGAGACTTCTCCTGGAGGGAAGGAACAAAGGGGGCGCGTCAGGGGAACACTCACTTGCCTTGCCTGAAAACTGCCGGGAGCATATGTTTGGTTTCAGAGGTCCTGGCTCCTCCTCTGTCTCTTTCTGCACTCTGCTGTCCAGACTCCCCAGCCTCCATCCCTTTGGGTCATCTCTTCTCCCCTTCTCCTTCCAATCACTCTGGCATCTCACCAAGATTCTCTGGTTTTATCTCATCCAATAGGTGGTTTCATGAAGGTCTCTCGCGACACCAGGCAGAGAACTTACTTATGGGCAAGGAGGTTGGTTTCTTCATCATCCGGGCCAGCCAGAGCTCCCCAGGGGACTTCTCCATCTCCGTCAGGTACTGGCCACTCCCAACCCAGACTGCTAAAGCCATGAGGTGACCTCTTGAATGTGACCTATTGCTCAGGAACATGGTGGCCAAGGGACCCAGGCATCTTGTCAACTGGGATGCCATTCATCTCTTCCCATGATGCATATATATGACTCCTGAGTATGCTGGTTTGTGGCCAAATTACATATATGTTCTGCCTCCCCCTAAGTGCTTCTGGAAGGACAGGATCTTCATCTATTTCACCTTTGTGTCTTTAACAGTGCCTTATAACCAGCAGGCATTCAGGGAGTATTTGTGCAAGGAAATGGGGTAGGAGAAGGAAGGGAGAATTCCCAATTGTCCACATCTGTCTGGGGTTTAAATCTGAACCTTTCCTTCTCCTACTGATACATGTCTGAAGAAGGCTCAGAGGAAAATTAAAATCCCAAGTCATTGTTGTAGGTGGTTGCATAGAAAAGAAGGGCCAGCTCAGCACACTGTAATGCAGCAAACTGATAGCGACAGATCTGAGCCGAGGAGGCCTGGGGTGAGGGACGATAGCGCAAAATCTCGCTAACGTGCAGCACCCAGGAGGAAATGAGTCAGTCCGGGCATAAACATGACACAGCCCCACGCTCAGAAACCCCAAGTCTGAGCGCACTGCATGTGGTCAGCATGTCTGGGATCGCAAGTCACATATCAGGCATGGTGACCACATGTGAAAGTGCACAAATTAATGCTGATATCCATACAGGAGGAGACGTGACAAGCTGTACAGTGGAACCTACTGTCAAGTTCATTGACAGGAAATGTTGGTCTGGATTATTCAATACACATTGAAAGGCATGTAGTTTCAGTGATTTAAGTGCGTAAATCGAATCTCGGGTAACGAACTGAGGCCACTTCACTATTTAGGAAGAATGGATATTTTAAGGAATAGGTAGGGAGGATTTAGGAATAATGGGTCAACCATTTGTATGCATGTGTGCCTCTGAAGTGCTCCAAAATAGCTTGGTCTCATTAACATTGCCCTTGCAATCTTGCTTAAAATCTTAGTTTTCCTTAACTAAAACTTTTTTCTTTTTTCACAGTTTAGGCAACAGGAAATTTTAGCTCAGGCCAATACTGATGTATCACAAATTCTAAATTTGTTTGGTCTTAATGCAATTTTGCTCTATTAATAACTCTTACAGTCAAACCTCTTTTTTAAGGGCCCTGATTACAGATTGGACCAGGTAAATGGTTACATTGAAGGGCATTTCTTGGTGCCTCTGCTTTGCATGAAGTGCACTGTGGCTTTTCAGCTAGGAATTATGGTTTGTTTATATTTCCTCAACTAAGGTGACTTCTCCAAAACGGTCAGCCTTGACTTCTGCCACAGTCTCTCCCTACTGTTGAGGCGTTGCAGCCTCTTGTGATTATTACCATAATCATTACTACATCTTCTGCAGAAATGTAGCCTAATATATTCCAAAGCAAATCATTTTTATTTATTTATACATCTGCCTTCTATCATGCAAAGATAATTAAGAGCTAATTGTAGTTCTATCACTTAGCATTTGTTAAGGGTCTGAAACACTAGATTTTAGAGTCTGGAGCCCTGAGTTTTATCCCTTTTTCTTCCCCTCTTAGAACTTGAGACAGTGGTGCAGCCACTCTCTCTCTCCATGGGCCCAGAGGACCGGGTGCAAGCCTGACATCCATCCTCTCAGCTTATGAGAGAGAGGGGGTTAATGTTTCTCACTCTGAGTTCTTTGACTAAAAGGTGGTGGATGAATAATTATATCACAAGAATATTTCCTCCTCCACACACAGATGTGAGGAGTAATGACTATGAATTAAGTCATGTGTTGTTAGAGTGAAGAAAGCATCTGTTAGTGGCCAACACCAAGGGGAAGACCATGCAGGGATTGCAGAGTGTCAGTTCGTAGCCCAGAGCAGTCAAGCAGAGGTCCCGTATGGGTTCACCTGGCCATGAACACAGCCTAGCACATAAGATGAGACTGAAGATCAATCAAAATTCCCATCCCCTCTGAACACAGACCACTGAATCCATCCTTAAGAAACCTGCACTAACCTTCAAAGGCATCTTCACTCCCCAACTCTCTTTAAATTCTTGACATTTCTGTTGGATCAGGCAACCAATATCATTAGTTTATTTTTAGATATAAATGTATGTGTGTTTGGTGAATAAACTTGACATCGAAAAGAGAATGCCTTGGTGATGGGGAAAGACTGGAGCTATTAGTAAAGGCCAAGCTCCCCCTTTCCAGATGAGTAAAGTCCAATTTCTCCATCTCTGATACAATTATTTCCCATCACAGTGATTCCAGCTGGTGTCAAAAGGTGCCGATCTAAAAGAAGCTGGCACATGTACATGGTATGACAGGCTCAGTTCACTAGGCTGGAATCAGAAAGCCAGGGTTCTTGCCTCAGCTCCACCAATCACTCACGGTGACCTTGGCCAAGCCCCTCCACCAATCTGAGCCTCAGCATCCTCATCGGTAACATGGAGACAAGGCTAAACAATCTCAGAGGTCCTTTCCAATTAAAACACTACATTGCTGTATAACATTTTTCTCCCCAAAAGTTCAAAATACATTGTAACCTTATTTATGCCAAACATAAACCAAGACCAAGAGATCTCCATTAAGTAGAAAACCAAGTGGGACAAATTTCTCAAGATAGTCTCTTACTGTCCAGAGCTAGTTTATGGGCTTAAAAGAGCTGGTTCAAAGTATTTCTGATAATGGAAAGATAACAGGGGTGAAAAACCTTTCCCCTCTGAGTCTTGGCAGAGTCCTTGGCATCGTACAGGACTCGGGGGTTGCCACATTTCAAACAATCATTTGTAAAAAGTCCTTGACCTGGTGGTCACTGAAGCACTTGGACATTTTTTTCTTATAAAAGGTTGGCTCCAGTGTTGGAAGACAGATTATCTTCTGCTGATGTAAAAATCCCTTCTAATGCCACCTGTGTCCTGAGCGGTCCCTCTCACAAATCTCCCCCTAGAGTTTGACTGAGCCAGCCCACCCGCCCTGTGATGGTAGGCATTCACATCCCCTTTCCTGCCCCAATGGAACTCCAGCATCCCTGGATGCGGTCAGCCCTGGGGGTGGGGACACTGTCACCATGTAACATACAATTTGGATTCACCCTGATCTCTAGGCATGAGGATGATGTTCAGCACTTCAAGGTCATGAGAGACAACAAGGGTAATTACTTCCTGTGGACAGAGAAGTTTCCGTCTCTAAATAGGCTGGTGGACTACTACAGGACGACTTCCATCTCCAAACAGAAGCAGATCTTTCTGAGGGATAGAACCCGAGAGGATCAGGTATGCCTCAGGCCCAGATCAGCCCCAGTCTGCAGATTTTAGGCAGCATGAGTCCTATATGACCCATCAAGACAATGCATTTGATGATATGTCCTCTGAGTGTTCTGGAAAACAGAATAAGTCCAAGGTCAGACCTCGGTTAAAAATCATCTTTTAAGGGGCGCCTGGGTGGCTCAGTTGGTTAAGCGACTGCCTTCAGCTCGGGTCATGATCCTGGGGTCCCTGGATCGAGTCCTTCATCGAGCTCCCTGCTAGGCAGGGAGTCTGCTTTGCCCTCTGACCCTCCCCCCTCTCATGTGCTCTCTCTCTCTCTCATTCTCTCTCTCTCAAATAAAGAAATAAAATCTTTTTTAAAAAAATCATCTTTTAACACTTCCCAGCCATGTGATTTGGGAAAGTTGTCTGATCCTCAGTTTCCTGATCCATAAAACTGGAACGATGGTGATACCTAGCTCATAGATGGTGGTGAAGGTTAGAGAAGATAACATACCCCCTTCCCTGGCATCCCTCCTAACAGCGCTACGAGCACGCCACAAACATTAGCTCTTAGCAGTGGATGCTTTATTTTGTTACTATAGATATTACTACATTGCAGTTTCAGCCTAGCTTAGGAGTTGCCCAAAGATGAAGGCCAGGGGGCCACATGCAGGGATGCTGGAGAGCAGCCTAGAGTCCAAGACTAAGGTAGTAGGTAGAGCTTTGTCACAGAAAGGGAGGTTGGGGGTGTTGGAGGAAAAAACTGGACCTGGAATTCTTGCTCTTGGAACAGTGTAGAAAATAGAGTATTATTTTACTAGAAAATGCATCAGACAAACCTAGCTCTTTTTTTAAAGATTTATTTATTTATTTTAGAGAAAGAGAGAGCTCTCAAGAGTAGGGGGAGGGGCAGAGGGAGAGAGAAAGAACTTCAAGCAGACTCTGAGCTGAGCACAGAGCCTGACTCAGGGCTCGACCCCACGACCCTGAGATGATGACCTGAGCTGAAACCAAGAGTTGGACGCTCAACCAACTGAACCACCCAGGCGCCTCCAGACGAACCTAGCTTTAAATCCTAATTTCATCACTAACTGTCCTTATTACCTAGCCAAGTTAAGAAACCTTTCAGAGTATCAGATTTCTCATCTGGAGAATGGAGAGAATATAATACCTCCCTCTTTGGGCTGTTGTAAAGATTAAATGAAATAATATGGTGATAGCACTTGCCATAGAGTCTGGACAATAGTAGGCACCAAGGAAATGCTAACTTGCCTCCCATAAGAAAATTCACACACACACACACACACACACAATGTATAAAATACCTTTCAAAGGAAACAACATCGTTAAAAGAAAGAGATGGGTATTCTAGAAAGAAGCATTCTCTGGAATAGTTAAAATAGTTGAAATCCTTGGAACAAGTTATTTGAAAAGGCATTGAGGCTTTCAAATCAACAGGTGCTCTGGAGAAGTAGAGAAAAACATTTCAGGTAATTGGTTGATTGTAAGCCTGAGAAGTGACAGTCCTAGGAGAAAAGGGCGTCCCAGCAAGTGCACATAAAAGTTCAGAAAGAAAAACAAAGGTTAACTAAGACTTTGTGAATTATTTTAACTAAGAAACAGAGGTATTAATTTAGTAGGATGGGCATGCAGAGAGAAAAGAGGTAGCATAAAATGGATTAAACTGGGGAGCACCTGGGTGGCTCAGTCGTTGGGCGTCTGCCTTCAGCTCAGGTCATGATCCCAGGGTCCCGGGATCAAGCCCCGCATCGGGCTCCCTGCTCCGTGGGAAGCCTGCTTCTCCCTCTCCCACTCCCCCGCTCGTGTTCCCTCTCTTACTGTGTCTCTCTCTCTCAAATAAATAAATGAAATCTTTAAAAAAAAAAAAACAAACCACATTGAACTGGATTAAGTGAGTTCATATTTGTAAAGCACTTCGAACAGCGCCTGGCATATATGAAGCCCAGGCCCTGTGTAATTGTTTGTGAAATAAAAATAACAAGAAAGTACCTCGAGTCACACGGTTGTGGTACCATTGAGCAGAAAGGCCGTGCTCCTTCCCAGCGTGCCCAGCGGCAGGCCTGGTTTCCATGGCGCCGCAAGAGGGCTGCTGTCTGGGGCTCTATCACCAGGCTATAAGTGACAGTTCAAAATCAGGCAAAGTCAATGGCCGAGCTTATCGGGAGGGTAGGGTGTCCGGCGGTGTGGTAACGTGCGATAAGGAGGGGCGGCATTGTGTCAGTAAAATAGAATATTGAAGCTTGATGGCAGAGAGGAAAACAAGCCCACTAGGAAGGGACTCCATGCATAGCCCGTGGAAAGTGAACCAGAGACCCGGAGTCCCCAACCCGGGAGAATCTGAGAACGTGGAGACCATTTCTGAAACCACGAGGGGCCGAACCATCGGCTCTCTTGAGGCTGCCTGCGGGCCTTCGGCTGTCTCTTGGAGAGGTGGTGGGCAAACTGCCAGAAAGCGGGGGGCGGGGGGGGGGGGAGCGGGAGATGCGGGAGGAGGATGGATCTGCATCATCTTCATCATTCTCTCCCAGGGTCACCGGGGCAACAGCCTGGACCGGAGGCCCCAGGGAGGCCCGCACCTCAGTGGGGCTGTGGGAGAGGAAATCCGGCCTTCGATGACCCGGAAGCTGTCGGACCGCCCGGCGCCCCCTCCCTCACAGTGCCCCCCAGCCCCCCCAGCACAGGAGCACCGCTACCTGCAGCACCCTCATTTCCATCAGGTACCTCGGAGGAATGGAGTGGGCGCCGTGAGGTAGGGGAGAGGACCTGCTCTCCTCGGCCCAGAGCTCAGGCCTCCCTGTCCCCATGGTCACTGAGCAGGTGAAAAACCCCCACAAAGCCAGATGCAACCAGAGCAAACAAAGGCTGGTGGGGGGTGGGGGCTGTTGTGGTCCTGGGACCATGCGGAGGAGCATCTCAGGCTCGGCCTGGCCTCGGGAGGGCTCGCAGAGCTCATAAAGAAGACCCGGGACCTCCTAACTGGCAGAAATATGATAAAATGATATGGGAACTGCTCTTGGCACAGAAGTCCCTGTGAATTCGTTGGCCCCCTGCCTGAACACACACACACATGCATGCACACGCACGCACATGCTCCTACCCTGAGGATTCAGTGAGCCGTTGCTTCGTTTTCCTGTCAGAGCAATTCCAAATCTATTCATGCCCCTTAACCCATCTGGCTGTGGAGATCCACAAGAAAAACGGATTAATACCGGCAATAGAGCCTTGCTTATTTATTTATTTATCTCCTGCCCTGCTCCAGATGGGATTTGGGGCCGCTTACCGAGATGGACAATACAGCCAGATGACATCGTTCCTAAATTCCTTAGTAGGGCACACAAAGCCCTTTGTGAGCTGCGCTTATCTGTTTCCCCAGCCTCATCTCCTGCTGCCTCACCCTAAACCCACCCTCCCCCCCCACCCTCCACCTTCCTCACTCCCTGAGCAAACACACATTCCAGCAACATTGCACTATCTTTAGTTACCAAAATGGTCAATTGTGTTTTCTCTCATAACTTGGGGGCTTTTTATATGCTATTTCCTCTGCCTAAAATGCCCTTTCCTGGCTGATCCTTCTCCTCCTCTAAGCTAGAGTTCAAGTATCACCTCCTCTAGGAAGACTTCTCTGATTACCCTGGCAGACTTAGACATTCTCTCAGCTCGCTTATCACTTAAATGTGTATGGTTCCCCCTCTCAACTGACGAACCACGAAGACAAGGCCCTTTTCTTTCCAGCTACATATCCCCAGTGATTAGGACAGTGCTAGACACATGGCAGGTGCCTGATAAATATTCTTTGAATGAATGAAATCTGGTGTTTGTCTTCACAGTCGAAGGTCCCTTTGCCACCCTTCCCCCTTTCTCCCACCCCTGGGGTTTATCAGCAGCAGCACGAATTCTTGGAACACTGGCTGTGTCTGTGGCTTCTGAGCAAGGCACTGGGGGGCCTGCCGGAGATGTGGTGTGGTGACAGGTCCTCTGTTACGTGTGTTTCCAGGAACGCCGAGGAGGCAGCCTTGACATAAACGATGGGCACTGTGGCATGGGCGTGGGCGGCGACATGAACCCGGCCCTCATGCACCGGAGACACACAGACCCTGTGCAGCTCCAAGTGGCCGGGGTACGTGAACTTTCCCTCCCTGGGCTCAATGAAGGCAGTCAGAGGGGTACTTAGAGAAATGGTTGGTCCTCCAGGACAGAGGCAAGCTGCTCAGAGCTCAGAACGGAGGTGGTGGGAGGCCAGCGAGCCATGGGGGGAGGAGTTCCCAGGCGGAGCCGATGCCGGTCTGTTGTTCTGTCCGGCCGCTGGGCCTTGCCCTGTCCTCATGGTTTTTGGCTCTGGCTCTGGCCGAGGGAGATCTGTTGCCTTTTTCCTCACGCCGCATCTGCCTCGGCTGCGCTAGCACGGAGGGCTGTTAATTTGGGCACACTGCCATCCTGTCACCTGAAGAGAGTGAAAAGACCACCTATTGATGTAGGGAGAGTAGCTGTCAAGGGTTCTCCTGGGGCCCCGGAGACTAACATCTCTGTCGGTAAAAGTCCTGAGTCTCAAGAGCGGCTCGGCTGAGTTCTGATAACGCCACGCCCCGGGCTGTGCGGTGGGGTCTGCTGCCCGTCACAGTGGGGTTCGGGAGGTCTCCGGAGAGCCAGACGTCTGCCTTCAGGGTAGGCTGCTCACCGAGGACTTCGTCTTGCTGCAGGGGCCGGCAGGACGCCTCCTGCGCCACAGCGGCTCCGAAGGGCCCCCGGGCGTGGCTCAGCAGGCCCCTTCTGTGCTTTCCCCAACAGCGAGTGCGGTGGGCCCGGGCGCTGTACGACTTTGAGGCCCTCGAGGAGGACGAGCTGGGGTTTCGCTGTGGAGAGGTGGTCGAGGTCCTGGACAGCTCCAACCCGTCCTGGTGGACCGGCCGCCTGCACAACAAACTGGGCCTCTTCCCTGCCAACTATGTGGCGCCCATGATCCGATGAGGCCCTTCCGGGGGGTCAGAGGCTTTTGTGTGAAGCTGCCTGCAGGAGAGGGGGCAAGGAAGAAAAGCTGGAACTATCCACACATACGTATTTATGTGTGTACGCGCACATGCACACCTATGCCTCTGTGTACACGCATTTTCTAATAGTAATTTATTGGCAATTTCACTGGTTACTTAGTTGATGTGAAAGGAAGTCAGGTGAGAATGATATTCATACTTGTTTTTCTGCTCCCCTCAGCGGTGTGTGGAAGGCAGTGGGAAAACTGGCCGGTGGGGAGGGGCAGGGACATGAAACGCAAATTCTTGCCGTCTCTAAGATGGTCCTGCTTCCTCCTGGCCTGGGGAACGTTCACTGAGAGTAGCTCAGCAGAGAGCCACACCCTGGGGTTGGACGGGAACTACAGGGTGGGGCTGGACTCGGTGGGGCATGTTTGAGCTCACCTCCAAGCCCTGCTCACCTTCAGGGTTTGCAGGGCAGCTTCCCTCCTGCTCTACAAGGGTGGGTACTGCTGGGTTGAGAATAAAGGTGCCGCCCCATAGGGCTGAGCTTGGGAGCAGGAAGGGCCGAGAAGGCGGGACTGGACTGGAGCAGCAGGTGTCCCCAAGCCTGGGCAAGGCTGGCTTCACCTCCCTCCAGTGAGTGTTCCTCGGCTAGTCCTCTTCTCCGAGGCTGACCTGGAGAAACGGAGACCCCGAGGAGCCAAGCACTGGGAGACGGAGGGGTTTTCACAAATCCTCAGTGACTTACTTGAGAGTAACCTCTGTTTCCCCAGATACCAAGAAAGCAGCGTCTGAGACTCTGTAAAATGCTTAGAGAAGCCCTGGCTGAGAAAGCTGGATTTCAGAGCCATTATTTTATGGCGACAAGGGTGTCTCTTTGGGTCTCTATTTGTTTCCCCATGTTTTGAGGATGCTTTGCCCAGTGGCACGGAGAGAAGCCCACTCCACAAGAGCATTGATTCGCTATTGTTGATGGGTTGATTGGTTGGCTGAGCATGACCCTGGGTGGGAGCCGGCTTTGCAGTGAGCTTCCTGTTGGATCTGGCTGTTGAGCCACTGCTGACAGCGCAACCCCCCAACACACACACCCAATACCTGCATGTGGGGCCGCTATCTCTCCTGCCACCTCAAAATAGAATTGTGTTTCCCTTGGGGGTGTGGGTGGGGACTGGCCAGGCTGGGGAGCAGAGACACCGCACCGGAGAAGGAAACTCAGAGCCCAGGAGCAAACACGTCTGCACCAAGGGCCCTGAGAAGAGGGGGTGTGTGTGTGTGTAATGAGACCGAAATGAAAGGGTGGGGTGCCCGTGTTGGTGAGGGAGCATGGGGGGTGAGGTGGGCCCGTTCCTTTGTCTTCTCCCCCAGCCCTTCCTGCTCTAAGGAGTGACGGCGGCAGCCATTATGGAGGGTGATAGAAGAAGAAAGAGTTTCTACTCAGAAGTAACTGTCAGTGTAATGTGGGCTGTGTCCCTTTGACTCTGAATTCTATGATTCTGTGATCCCTGTGTCGTCTGTAGAGAGGAAGGGAAAAAGAAGGCGCTCTGTGGTGAGTCTTGGGAGGGAAGAGAAAACAGCCCTGAGAGGCGGGGGGAGTCGAGGGAGAGTGGGGAGGGTCTGGCACGCAGCCTTTAGAGATGACAGCACGGAAAGGGAAAAGGGGCAAAGACATTTCAAAAGATCAAGGAGCAGCGTGAGAGGGACAAAGGGAGGGAGAGGAGGCAAGATGTTAAGCGGGGCAGGTGAGGAAGACATGGGAGTAGGGGTCGGCCGGCTGGCGAGCAGACAAGCGCCGGAAGGAGGGACCGAGCAGGTGCGCGGAAGGAGCAATGAGAGCCGAGGTGTGCGCGCTGGCGAGGGCAGGGGCGAAGGCACCGCGAGGTTGAAGGCAGAAGAGCAGGGAGAAAGAAAAGCAAGGCAAAGAAGACCTGAAAGCTATTTTGGTGCTAGGTAATGTGAACATGTTACAGTAAATAAAAGCCAAAAGCGATGTTTGATTGTACAGTATTTACAAACCATATGCTTTAAACAGCCCACAAACCACATCCATTTGTCTGATTATGTGGGAGGACCAGCCCCAGTGAAGAGAGAGGGACATAATTTGGTTCTGGCCTGGATTTTGTGCCTTGAAACACTTCTCAAGAAAGCAATGATAAGACGTGCCCGTGTTTTGCCAGGCCGCGCGTCGTGTCTGTGGGAGCGGGGTTCACTGGTCTGGGGAGGCCTGCCGCACAGTGTGGGCAGAGCTTCCGAAACGCCTGGAACTGGATGTTCTGTTCCACCCCAGGCCGTCCGGGGAGTCGGGCGCTAAAACAGCCTTGCCCCTGTGCATCACGTGGCTCAATTCAGGAGGACGCAAGAATCACCCTAACCACCCACGGAGAACTGGGGCCCTTAGGCACCAGCCTAAGAGGATAAAGACCGAACTGTCCACACTTGGGGGTGTTAGGAAGCGGCTCTGCTGGGCCTCTGGTGCTGCCTGGGGGAGCACATGGGGAGCTGCTTTCCACCTGACAGCATTTCAGCGCCAGGGGCGTGTCCACCCAGCGCTCCTCCCAGCCACACAATCCACACAATCAGGGAGACAGCACAAATGTCTCAGACTTCAGCGGAAACGCTCTGCATGACCTGAGGGCAGGGAACTTCCAGAGAAAGTCGGTTCCTGTTAAACCGGTTCAGATTTCCTAACCACTTGCTGAGGCTCCCTGCAATTTCCAAATCTCTGGTACCTGCCACTGCCCACCCACTTTTAGATGGCCTCAGGGTGATCGAAGGCAGTGCTTCTCAAAATTCAGGGCCTATGGATTGCCTCCGGAACGTGTTAAAATGCAGATTCTGATTCAGTCCTGCGTGTCCACCACGCTCTGAGGTGATGTTCCTCGGTCAGCGGACCAGACTTTGAGTAGCAAGGGCACAGAACTTGACAGGGAGCTAGAGAGCCACAAAAATCAGATGAGATCCCTTTTCTAGGGATCTTCAGGCACTTTTCTCTGTTGCTCACATATGAGACATGATTCAGAACTGCCAGTATGACATCATCCACACTTGCTGGCCCAGGTGACCGATTTCAGGGTCTCCATCTCCATCAAGAATCAAGAAACTTTAGGACGATAAGCATTCAGATAAAATACACACAGGGGTTTCCCAATGGTGATTATTTTAAAGATAAGCAGAGGTTACCGAAGTTGTGAAAGCTTTCTCAGGAAATCTTTAAACATAAAATGCACTGGAGTCAGGTGTCGTCCTGCTTGGAGACAAGGGAATGGCCCATGTCACCGGGGCACCGGTAGATCAACTAACCCCGAGCAAAACAGGCCACAGGTGGGACAGATTGGCCTGGGCGAATACTTGCTGTTGGCCTTGTCTAAAGTTAACGCTTCAGCCCATATGTACGAAAACAAGGGCAAGGGAAAAACATGTTGTCTCGGTTCTTTTAAATACTTCTCAGGTTCCTCCACGTCTCTCCATCACCACAACCATGCCACCATATCTCTTGTTGGTGACCGATCGAGCCTCGACACGCTTCTCCCAGCATACTGTCTTGTCCCCAATCCATTCTCCACACAGATGCCAGGGCGATCCTTGAATAACACCAGCCTGATCATGTCACTCCCCTGCCAGCCACCGCACTTGGATTTGAAGCCAGGTCCCCATGTGGCCGTGTGAGGTCTGGCCCTACCTCCCTCTCTGGCCTCCTCTGTGCCTCTCCCCTCCTTGCTGCCACGGTCCCACCCACTGGCCTTCTCTCAGCCTCCAGATTGGCTCCCATAGCTTGTTCCCTCTGCCTGGCTAACTCCTATGCATCTTCAGGTCTCAGTTTAAATGTCACTTTCTCATATTATCCTTTCCTGACCCTAATCTAAAAGAATCCTTCCCGTTGGACTACCTGGTGGTTCCTGGTGCTTTTCCTGAACAGTGCATAAGCTGGTCTGTTGGACTATTAGACTGTAAGCTCCCCGGGGGCAGGGATCATCTCTGTTTTGTGAACCATCGTCTGCCCAGCATGTTTGGCACACAGAGGCTCAACAAATATTTGCTTAATGAATAAGCAAATGAAACCTGCCTCGTGTCACTTATCATTCATTCTGTAACCCAAAGGTCCCAGGCCTTAGGGACCCATAGGTGCAAACAAGGTGATATTAACATTGATGCCCAAGTTACAGTAGCTTTCAGCTGCGTGCCCTCAAGATCTCCAGTTACTTTGAGAGTCCAAGGGAGTGAGGCTGGTACCCCTCGTGTGTTTAAGAACCAGTCGGCTAATGCCTCCTACTCTGGCCATGTTCCATTGTCCTCGAGCATCCTCCACTGACAGCGACTTCCCTGATGCTGCTGACCCGCTGTGGGTTGCATCTGTATGTTGATGAAATGCCCTGATCCTTCAGGAAACCAACTCTGCCCTGCAGTCCATGTGGCCAGGGGGTTGGGGAAGAGGAGGGGTGGAGAATGGCCTGTACCTAGTTCTGAGTCATCCCTGCCCCTGGGCCCCAGAGAGGCACTGCCTAGGTCAAGGGTCTCCCACAGCTCATTCCCTCCTCACCGGAGCCCTCGCTCCATCACACAGGACAGAGGAAGTACCTTCCCCTCCACCTCTCTTGTTTGTCTCTCTCCCTGTTGCCCTTCCTCCTTCCGCTGAAAAGAAATGCTCTTGTACCTCTTTGTGCAATAGATACTACCCATGGTGCCAGGGGGATGTGCACCCTGTTGTATACTCTGGGCTCGGCTGTAATTTATTCATTAACTATTCGACAACTATTTACAAAGTACCTCGTAGAGACCAGACGCAATGAGCCAGTGGGTCATCCACATCTCTCTCCTGCCTCTGCATCTGTGCCACAGTCACCACCTCATTTCAGGCCTCTCTCATGTCTCTCCCCCTTGCACCTGCAATAGTCTCAGAACCGGTCTCCCCACCTGCCTCTGGGCTGTCCCCTCTGATCCAGCGCACTGACTGCCAGAGAGACCTTATTAACATGCAAAGCTGATGACATCAGGCTTCTGTTCAAAAGCCTCTGGGGGCTCCCACTGGCTTTCAGGCTAGAGTTTAAACTCCCCGGCTTGGCAGTAATGCCATTTTGCAATCTGACTGCTGCCTGTTTGTTCAGCCGCAATGCCCATCTCCCCCCAGAATGAGTCATGTTGTCTCAGAGCGCTGAGTCTTTCCATCGGGTTCCTTCTGCCTAGAATGCCTTTCCCCCAATTTTTTGGTCTAGATCAGTGTGGTCCAATAGCACATTCTGTGATGATGAAGGGAAAGTTCTCTATCTGCTCTGTCCAATGTGGCAGCCTCCAGCCACTCATGGCCACTGGCTGCTTGCAATGTGGCTAGTGTGAGTGAGTTCCAACAACAAGACGGGGCAAGTGGCTACCTTATTGGGCATTAGGGATCCAGGCAACTGCTACTCACTTTGAAATACTTAGCTCAGGGCTCAATTTCTCCACTGGGAAGCCATCCCAACTTCATGGCTGCTGTAGATGTCCCTCCTCCATGTTCCTCTTGCATCCTTGTTCTGCTTCCATCCCGATATTTCAGAACTCTGTTGTATAGTTGGTGATCCACTGAGTCTGCCTCCCCACAGGACTGAACATCTTTGAGTGCACGAACAGTTCACCCTATAAATGGTTGATGCATGCGTGCATTGGTGTGCTGGTAAATGTTGAACAACTGCCCTCTAAAGGAAAGCCCCAATTGTCACATTTGCCAGTTCTGTGGTGTAAATATTCCTACCGTGCGTCAAAATAATGAAAAGACAAACCACAGAAGGGGAAAAGATAATTGCAAAAAGCCTACCTGATAAAGAACTGTTATCCAAAATAAACAAAGAATTCTTAAAACCCAACGATAAGGAAATGAACAACCCAACTGAAAAATGGGCAAAACGCCTGAACAGACACCTCACTGAAGAAGATAAAAAATCACAAGTAAGCACATGAAAAGATGCTCAACACTACATGTCATTAGGGAAATGCAAATTAAAACAATGAGATACCATTACACAGCTCTTAGAAAATCCAAGGACCAAAACACTGACAACACCAAATGTTGGCAAGGATGTGGAGTAACAGGAATTCTCATTCACTGCTGGTGGGAATGCAAAATGGTACAGCCCCTTTGGAAGACAGTTTGGCAGTTTCTTACAAAACTAAACATAGCCTTAACATATGATCCAGCAATCATGCTTCTTGGTATTTACCCAAAGGAGCTGAAAACTTATGTCCATGCAAAAACCTGTACATGAATGTTTATGTCTGTTCCATTCATAATTGCCAATACTTGGAAACAACCGAGGTGTCCTTCAGTAGGTGAATGGATAAATAAGCTGTGGTCCATCCAAACAATGGAATATTCTTCAGTGCTAAAAAGAAATGAGCTATCAGGGTGCCTGGGTGGCTCAGTCGGTTAAGTGTCTGCCTTCTGCTCAGGTCATGATCCCAGGGTCCTGGGATCAAGCTCTGCATCGGGCTCCCTGCTCACTGCTTCTCCCTCTCCCTCTGCCCCCGCTCATGTGCTCTATCTCTTGCTCACTCTTGTCTCTCAAATAAATAAATAAAATCTAAAAAAAAAAAAAAGGAAAGAAGCTATCAAGCCATGAAAAGACATGTAGAAACCTTAAATGCCTATCACTAAGTGAAAGAAGCCAATCTGTAAAGGCTACATACTGTATGATTCCAACTGTATGACATTCTGGAAACAGCAAAACTATTGAGACAGTAAAAAGATCAGCAATTGCCAAGCGTGAGGTGAGAGGGAGAAAAGAAGAGGTGGAACACAGAAGATTTTTAGAGCAGTGAGATCATTCTCCATGATACTATAATGGTGGCCACATGTCATTACACATTTGTCAAAACCCAGAGAGTGTACAATACCAAGAGTGAACCCTGAGGTAAACTATGGGCTTTGGGTGATAATGATGTGTTGATAAGGTTCACCAAGTGTAACAAATGTACCACTTGGGTGGGGGATGTTGTTAATGGGGGAGGCTGTGCATGTGACAGGGAGTATAA